CACAGCAGAATTTACCCTCTCCTCCCCTGTGGAGGGTGCTTCAGATGAACTCTGGACAGGACTGGAGGGGTGGCACTGGTAAGCATCTTCTCATACAGATTTAGTTTTAGGCTGTAGTTTTGGCTCAGGGGCCCTCACTAAACCAGATTCCTCTTTATCTCTGTTGCCACGGTGCCCCCTATTGGTTGAGTGAGACTGCATTCCTGCCGTTAGCTTGCCCCAGGGAGAAGGAAAATCTTGCCAACCCACCCATGGACAGAGCCTTGACTGTTTGCCTTCTGTACTTCAGCCTAAGCAGGTTATGTGTGAGTGTGGTCTTTGTGCTCTGGATGTGCTGTCCGGGATCCAGACATGAATCACTGATATCAGGTTGTTCTCAACCTGAAAACACAGTGGAGAATAGAAGCATGTTCTTGTCAGGACTAGTACCTTCAGGGCTTTTTCTGTACTCCAAAGAGTCCCACTCCTGCTAAATCTCTCCTAGTTGATCAGTAAAGGATAGTAACTGGCAGAGAGCGTCATAATCCAGCAGTTCACAGGACCTTGCTCCTCCATCTCTACTTTCTAAATTCAGTGACATACTGCAAACATGAAGGAGTGACTAAGCTGCTCTGGGCTTACTGGGAGCTGAGCTCCAGAACAGCTGGACATCTTTCTAGAAGAGTTGCTCTAGCTGAATGAGAAAGTAATGGGCTTGGTACAGGAATCACAGGATGACGTTCTATGGACTGGGTCAACAAGGGCTCAGACTAGATGATCGTAACAGTCCCTTCTGGCCTTGAATTCTCTGAATCTTGGAGCTGAGACACTGCGGGTCCTAATGTTACCAAAAAAGTTCATACTGATTCCTTTGCAACAAGAACAAAATGCGCCAAAGCTGACAGGATGAAATAGAAAGTAAAAGGAAAGAAGGAAAGACAGCAGCTAGTTGATCAAGCTGAGCTCTCTTGTGCAGGATTAGTCTTCTATTCAGCATAGTTTTCTGTGCTCTGCCCGCCAGCTCAGCTCTTTGGACTCTACAAACACTCCAAATGCTAGCCTAAAAGGGAGTCTAATCAGAACACTGTACAGTGTGTGGATACATGCACACAACTCCCAGCAGAGGTAAACCGCATAGAGGAGTGGGAGGGGGCACTCAGCATACTATGTTAGGAATTGATCTCCCAGTCCTTTTGGGATAATCATGCTTCTCCAATAGATTATAAAGAGTTGATGACGAAGCAATGTAAATACTGATCCCCATGTAAGGGCTAGTGCCCTAGAAAAGAGCAGACTGCATGTTTACATGTTTAGTTCATTGTAAGGGTTATTATGAATGTTCCTTGTCAATCATATAGTTAATGAGTTTATTGACCTAGTACGGTAGTGCATCATTTTGACTGATACTACAGGACTCTTATCAGAGAGATCTCTGCTGCTACAAAAACTCAGGTGAGTTACAAGCTCAGTCTAACACATTTGTCAAATAGTGATTCATGTCTTTTAAAAGACAGGGGGAGAGCTAGCTCAGTGGCCTGCTAAACCCAGAGTTGTGAGTTCAATCCTTGAGGGGGCCATTTAGGGATCTGGGGCAAAAATCTGTCTGGGGATTGGTCCTGCTTTGAGCAGCGGGTTGGACTAGATGACCTCCTGAGGTCCCTTCCAACCCTGATAGTCTATGATGATGATGTAAAAATGTCTATAACTGCATTGCTCAGGACCTAGCTATGAGGATGTATCACTTTTTTTTATTTAGACAGGAAGTACGTTTAGCCGGGCCAATGCTGCCTGGGACACTATCCTGAATTCAGGGCCGGCTCCAGGCACCAGCCTACCAAGCATGCACTTGGGGCGGCACCTGGAGGGGGGCGGCGCTCAGGCCCAAGAGCGGGGCCGCGACTGGGCTCGCCGCCCTCCCCGCGGCGCTCCGGCCGCCGGGGAGAGCGGAGCCGCAGCGGGCTCGCCGCCCTCCCCCGGCGCTCCGGCCGGCTGGGGAGAGCGGGGCCGCGGCCGGCTCTCCGCCCTCCTCCCGACGCTCCGGCCGGTTGGGGAGAGCGGGGCCCCGGCTGGGCTCTCCGCCCTCCTCCCAGCGCTCTGGCCAGTCGGTGTCAGTATTGGATGCTCCTGTGGTGCCCCATGCATAAATTCACAGTGGAATGGCCAGAGAATGGCAGAGGGTGAATTCTACCCTTCTGTTAGAACTGCCCTGCTGGTGCAGGAGGGTGCAGATTGCAGCCCCTGCAGCACTGGAGGGAGTCAAACCCATAATGTCCTACCTCAGAGGGTTACTACACTAGCAGATAACAGATCATGGTTTGGAGCACTCCTGATACAGGTGGTGTATTCTCCTAAGGGCTTCGTTAGTGTAGCAGAACTGTATGTGCGTTACAATCAAACAGTTCACTTGATCAAATTAACATTTCACGCTGAGACCTGGCCAGAAGACTGAAACTTCTAGGCATTCAATTGGCTGAAAATGAGGACCAGACATTTGTTCAAAACCCTACATTTACTTCCTGAATTAAACACACTTTATTGCATTGTGTCAAGAGCCCAGACAGTCTATTGCCTGGTAGGTACATTAGTAAGGCACTGTGGTTGGTGTCACTCTATGCTAAGCAACGAGTGTGATGAGACTTTGTTTTAGAGTCTTTCCACATTTTGCTATGACTCAGGTACCTACTGCTCTTTCCCTGAGGTTGGCTTTCCTTCCTTGGAGGATGGCTCATCCCCAGGTGCTGCTTCTAGCTAACACTTAGATGGGGTCTTACATCACTGCTTAGAACCTGGGGTAATAGAAATGAATATTCTGTGCAAAAAAATCTGTGCAAGGTAATCTCTTGACCTTAATGTGCCACTGATGGAGCCCATTGGCAACTGCTATGCAAAGGGTCGCAGGGCTTCTGCAATTTGTACCTCTGTGTACCAGCCAGTCAGTGTCCTTCGTACCCTCTGCCCCTCCCATCTCCTTCAATGAGAGTCCCAGTAGGAGCTGGGGTGGGTGCCCATGGCCTGGAACACTGCACAGCTGGCAGAAAAGATACATTAGAACAGCAGAAAGATTCAAGTAGTGATTTACGGTGCCCTCCAAAGCTCTACTGTGCATGGTCATGCACTTAGGGTCTAATAAAAATTTATGCTACAAGCTGGGGGGCTCATCAGTTGGGAGTGACCGAGGAGGAGAGAGACCTGGGTGTGGGGGTCCATCACAGGATGACTGTGAGCCACCAATGTGATGCAGCTGTAAAAAAGGCAAATGGGGTATCAGGTAAGACATTTCCAGTTGAGATAGGGAAGTGGTAATGCCACAGTATACAGCATTGGGGATACCTCATTTGGAATACTGTGAACTGTTCTGGTCACACAGTTTAAATCCATCTTTTGTGATGGTGGAACAGATGCAGAGAAGAGTTACTAGATGATCAAGGGAACAGAGGATCTATCATCTGAGAGGAGACTGGAAGAGCTTGGCTTGTTTAGCCTCACAAAAAGGAGGCTGAGAGGGGATACGATTGCTTTCTATAAATTCATTATAGGGTAAATACCAGGGAGGGTGAAGCTTATTTAAGCTAAAGGGTAATGTTGGCACAAGAACAAAGTGGTATAAACTGGCCACAAATAAATTCATGCTGGAAATTAGAAGAAGGCTTCTAACCAGCAGAGAGGTGAGGTTCTGGAACAGACTCCCAGTAGGAGTTATGGGGACAAATAACTTAACCAGTTTTGAGAGAGACTTGGACAAATTTATGAGTGCAATTGCATGATGGGATTGTTTGTTATGGTGCGAGGCAGGGCTTGGCAGCCCTGGGGGGGGTCACTTCCAATTTATGCCTTATGTTCCTAAAGCTCATGCTTCAGGACTTCTGCCAGCCACCTGCAGGAGTCAGGAAGGGATCCCCCCCCCCCCCCCATGTATTCTGGGAGAGTTTTTTATCTTCTTCCTCTGAAGCATTAAGTACAGCCACAGCTGGAGATGGGACACTCGGTGGAATGGGCCAGGACTCTGTGGAGACACTGAGTATTCTCTCTCTCAGCTGTGTGGCTGGCTGGTTCTTGATCACATGCTCAGGGTCTAACCGATCGCTATGTGTGGGGTCGGGAAGGAATTTCCCCCCAGCTCAGACTGGCCTTGACCTTGGAGTTTTCACCTTCCTCAGCAGCGTGTGGGTGCAGGTCACTTGCCAGATTATCTGGGTGTATCTCACTTAATCATTTCCCTGCACTGTGGGGTCCTCTGGCACTGGGACACCTTGGGTCCTCCTGTTCTCTGCCTGTGGCATGTAATAGTCTGGTCTCCTGGGGCTGTGAGACTTTGGTCTCATTTTGGTTGTTCGGTCCAGTGTGCAGGTGCTGGGTGGTGCTGATGGCCTGTGATGAGTTGAAGGGACCACTAGAGCAATTACTCTATATTCATTTGGGCTGTAGTGAGAGACAGGTCTGTAGTCAGTGACAGGCTAGTGCCTAAACCTGCTGGCGCTGATGATGTGAAGGGACATGGATAACGGCGCGTGTGTCTCTGTGTCTGTTACTATGTTCCTTTTGGTATCAGAGCTTTGGAACATCCCCCCACATCCCTCCCACCCCTCTCAGAAAACCTGCCATTCTTGCTCTGTTGTGCTGCACGCTGAAATCAGTCAGAGTTATAGTGTGGTGCAGGGTCCTTTCTTTATGCAGGGGATCAGTGTTGCTGAGCAGGAGGTTTTCTGCTACTCCATCTCTGTGGCTTTTTTTTTTATAACGGTCCTTCCAAATGAGGACAAGCAGGATTAGAACCAATGTCCATGTGGCATTATTGTGACAGGTGCACTGGTTCCTTCCCCTGAGGAGAATGAGATCTGTCTCACAGCAGTAACCTATGGTTTAAGGGAGGCCATTGTGGAAGAGGCCAAACTAACAGACGGATCACTCCCAAACTCCTCCTTGGGGGATAATTGTTCATTCTCCCCTGCACTGGGCAAATAGACGGTTAGGTGTTGCGCTTCCCTGTGTTTCCTCTTTCACAACTGTCTGTGTCCCAGTAGTCTGCTCAGCGGAGGACTTCTAGCAGCCAGGAGGGTCAAATGGCCAAGATCCCAGTAATAAAGAGCCAGCACACTGGTGACTACTACCGACCGGAGAGTGGACAAGCACGCCTCAGAATGTCAAGTGAGGCCATTGCGAGGATGGAGAATGGCAAGGTACCCCACAGCCTGCGGGGGGGTTGGTGTAAGACAGAGCTCATCTTTGCTTCTTTGGAAGGTTCCTGGAGGGGATCAACTTTCCTGTTGTTTGAATGTGTCATAATGAAATAGGTATCTCTCTGGCACACAACTGGAGAAATGAATAGTGGAAAGGTATCTTAAAAGAAACTGCTTAACTAGAGCTGGGCAAATTCTGCAAACATTTATTTGAATGACAACACTAGACCTGATTTTCCTCTTGCTTATGTCTGTTTTACACTGGCACGGCTCCCTGAACTTCCGGTGTAAATGACAGCAGAATCTAGCCCCATGAATTTCCTTCCATAGTATTCACAACCTTTTATATTTGTCTTTCCTGAACATTTTCGTAGGGAATTTTCTTCCCAAGAACATTTGTGGAACAGGAGAGTTTCGCAAATACTTGTGCCAACACGTATTGGCGCAACTGCTTGAGCTGAAACTGAAAAGAAGTAGCCGAGGGACTGGCAAATATCCAATCAGGTCACAGGAACACTAGCAAGTAACTCAGGACATGTGAGCGAATTACAAATGGCAAATACCAGAAGTCTCATCCAGTAATTTACAAGGAATCTTTAAGTTGAACACATAATTCAACACATAATTTCAGATAATGAAACACATCTGTAAAAATCTAACTCTGTTCAGGGATAATTTGAGAACAAAAAAAGGGGCAAAAACATCAAAGTGTGGGTTGTTTGTTGTTTTTCTGTGAGTATCAACTCAAGTCCTGAATCTCCCAGTAAGGAGCAGTGAGGAATCTCACCTGACTGGAATCTTCGTGGACATTCATCACAGGGCAGTGCTGTGTGGGTGTGCATAACCCCTAACATTGGCAGAGCTATGTATGCTTGATGCCAGCTGACATTGGGAAGGCAAGAGCTGTGGGGACACTCACAGTGCTGCTGTGCTAACTGGCACTACCAGTAAGTGGCCATGAAGCTGCTCTAATTGGTGGAGTCAAAAGGAAAAGCAGTAGAAAGGCTCCATGTTATACTGGAAGATGTAGACACTGAAAGGTGTTTCACATTTTCAGAGGTGAAAGAGCCCTTCTTTCTCTGTGTCTTTCTAGGCTCGGGCACCAGTGAATCCTCTGCCGATGGGAGTAAGCCACACACTAGCCATGGTGAAAGAAGGAATTATCCACACACACCAGAATATAGCTAGTGAGTACAGGCTCTCGTATTTCTTCTGAAACTCTCAGCGACAGATGTGAGTGTCAGAGCTTCCTGGCTGTTCTGCTGTTAAATGGCCAGGGGCAATTCTGTAGTATTTCAGTGGTATATACTAGTGACTATCCGTGTTCACAGGAACTGTAAAATAGCAAATATTTATGCACTGTATGGGTCAGATCCTCAGCTGGTGTCAACTGGCCTCAAGCCATTGACTTCAGTAAAACTGAAAATTGACTTCCATGGAACTGTATCATCTACGCCAGCTGAAGACTGCCCCAAAGTGTTTGTATTATATTTTCAAACATTTTACAGCGAAATTGGAAATGGCTGTAAATGTTGTAATAATTTAAAATGTGTTCTCTAGGGTGACTGGGTTTTGCTAGAGGGCTAATAGAGTATTGACTTCCCTTGCTGATGAATACCATTACTCAGTCTGTATTCTTAATAATGCAAATCACTGTAGGGCTAAAGCGAAATACCCCCTTAAAATTGTTCTCACTTGCTCTCTGTCCCCAAGCATACAGCCTGTAAAGGACAGGGTCGCCATTCAATGGAGAACTGCATCCCCTACTCTTCCCATTACCCTGAACCTCTTTTACATAAGCCTGTATTTCTTCTCTCCCTTCCAGCCACAAGGTCCTTCAACATGCTGAAACCCAGTGAGCCCAGCAAACCACTCATAGCAGAGCCGAAGCTCAGCAAATCCCTGCAGAAGGCCAGGATCACAGCTTTGTTCGCACACTCCGTATGTCGCTCACTCATCCCCGCAGCTCCCTTTGGACTTTCTCTCCCTTTCTGTCTATTTCCACTTGGCCTCTCCTTTGCTCTTCAGGGATGCCTCTTCAGCAGAACTTCCCAGGTTTCTGATCAGTTCTCAAGGCAACAATCCCCATTCAGCTACAATTTGTTGTCTGTGGCGACATCACCCATCTTTCCTGAGTTGGATACTCCCTTTCTCCCAGCCCCAGCCCCTCTGCTGGCTGCAGGCTGGGGAGTGGTGTAGAAGCCATTATGGTGGCTCTATACCACCAGAGGATTCTGCCTAAGGAGGGTAGATCCTCCAGCAGCTGCATAGACTGGCTGTGGAATAGCACAAAGCCACACTAACATCCCATTATAGTTACCACTGCGGCAATCTGTGTTAGCAGCCAATAGAACAAACCCCAGGGGACAGCGCTGGCGAAGTATTTACTCAGGTTCCTTGCCTCTCCCCCCACACCCCCAAGGCTATTTGGATTGCTTCTAGAAATCAGGAGAATGAATGAAGTTGTGGCATGTGAGACATTTGTCCTTTCGACAGTCAACATGTTTCACAAACACTTTTGTGCCTCATTCAATATTTTATTTTCAAAATTTGTGTTAAGAAAATGATCAAAACCATTACTGGCCATTTCCATCCCCCCAAACCCTGGTTGTCACAGCACATCAGAGGGCTGACGTGCTGACCAGGACATAGCTGGTGCCGTGGCCTGGTGCCGGGAGGAGTTTGGCACCTAACTCCTGCCGGCCCTTGTGAACAGGGCCGGCTCCAGGGGTTTGGCCGCCCCAAGAGGCCCCCCCCCAAAGAAAAAGCCGCGATCGCAATCGCGATCTGCGGCGGCAATTCGGCGGAAGGTCCTTCGCTCCGAGCGGGAGTGAGGGACCGTCAGCCGAATTGCCGCCAAATAGCTGGACCTGCCGCCCCTCTCCGGAGTGGCCGCCCCAAGCACCTGCTTGGCAAGCTGGTGCCTGGAGCCGGCCCTGCTTGTGAACATCTGTGCTTAAGCAGAGCGTTAGTGGCTGCTGTGCTGCTGAAGGTGCTGCCCTGCTCTGAACACACCCAAATGTGGCTGGAGAGGATGCTTTGCTCCTGAGGCTCCTGTCCCTCACAACCTGAGCATGTTCCATCTGCCAGGGCCTCTGGATGGTGCTAGTGCATGTCACAGCCTTGCCCTTTAGTTATCTGCACATACTCCAGCTCTCAGCAATTCAGCCTGGCAGTAGGCGGGCACTCCATACCTTGGGCTCCCAGTCTGGAGTGCTGATGAGTGGCTGGAGGGGTTGGGTGTGTAAACGCACACTCATTGTGTGAAATTCAGAGAGCAAATTTCTCCAAGACAGACTCTTGGAATTGGATCTTGGGCTAGAGCCCCAAATCTGGCTGAGCTGTGCTGAGGGGGCAAGGTGGTGTCTTAAATCCCTCTATATACCCTTCAGTCAGGAGTGCACATAGCGGTCAGTTTTACCTTCAGAGTATCTTAGAGCAGCCTCGAGGCCAGTCTAAGCTATGCTGACTGGAACAGCTCCTAGTGGCTGGAACAGCTCCTGGTGGCCGCTCTGCTGGTCCAGAATTGCAATACGCTCCAGACATAGTCCCTTCCATCCCAGGCCACCCCCTGACCTACCCCAGCACCTTTCCTATATAGGAATAGGTGACAGCCGCCCCTACACAAAGTTGCTTTGCCTGTCTGAGCAGAGCAACCCAGCCAGCATAGGCAGGAGGGTCTGACCCAATGTGCTCTTACCTCACCTCCCTTTGGTACATTGCATGAAGTCCTCTTAAAAAACAGCTATACTGGAAAAACATGAGCTGTGACTCCTATCATTGTGCAGGGCGAGAAGACTGCACCAGCTGATCCTGTGCAGAGCAGCTGCATCTCCCCAACACTGGATGAGCTGTACCCATCAGACCTCGATGCCCTGGTGCCCACCCATGATGAACAAGGCCACTCGATTCCTGAGTGGAAGCGGCAAGTGATGGTGAGGAAGCTGCAGGCTCGGCTGGAAGCAGAAGAGGGCAAGGGCAGGAAGGTATGGTACTGAGCTGACTGAAGGAGAACTGGCTGTTTTAGGCTGGGTTAGAAAGTCTTTATAGGCTTCTCCTTGCTTTGCTTGTTCCTCTTTGCTTCTTCCCAGCTCACTCCCTAACTTTCTCTCAGCTATGTCATGCCTTACCTCAGTCCTGAATTCTAATGTCATGAGATCATTGCACTCCTGGTTTTCCATCACTGGTATAGTTACCTCAGTAGAACGACATGGGGGTCCAACCCACAGTCCTAGTGCAGGGCAGGGTTCAGGCCTTTGTCTATTCTTGAAGCTCAGTGCAGACAAGGGCCTCGCAAATTTTTGGTTTGAGGGGGGCCCGAACCAACATTTCTGAGGAAAAGTCCAGTTTGATTCAAACCAAAATCTTTCTTTCCCCAAAGTTTTTTCAAAATGAAAATTCAAGTAAAAGAGTTGTTTTAGTTGACTTGAGATGTTTAGAGTCAACTTGAAATGATTTTTGTTTGTTTGTGCTTTGAATCAGCCGTTTTTGAAGTGTTTCACCCTTTTTTGGTGTGTTTGTTTTTTAACGGCCAAATGTCAATTCAAAAGGCCATTTCAAATTGAAGAGCTGAAATGAAACATTTTGAAACAAAACGGTCACAAACAAACTTTTCAACTCTTTTGAAAAAAAAGTTCAACCAAAATCTTTCACTGAATTTGACTCCAACTTGACAAATAGGTTTCAGGACCCGAAAATGCTTATTTCAATGAAAAAAAAACTGTCAGTCAAAACCATGTTGTCCAGCTCCAGTGCAGACCCAATGAAAGCTACGTGGTGCCAGAGCAAGGACTGTGCACTCAGACAATGCAAATGACTTTCAAGCCAACGTGCCCCTTAGAACAATAGACACAGAAGCCTTCTCAAAGCAAGGGGGAGCCCTGGACCTGTGTGTTAGGGAGCCTTCTCTATGCTTTAGCAGTCACGACCTCTCTAATCACCACAGGAGCTGTGGAAGCCAAATCCTGTGCACGTTCATCATATTGCTGGGGTATCAGTGCCCTTGTTTCACACCAGTGTGTGTGTGTGTGGGGGGAGGGAATCAGCCCTGGCTCTAGAAGATTACATTAATGACCTCCTGCAGTCTCTCACTTTCTGTCTCCCGCATGCAGAGCAGTGGAGGCAGTTCGGTGGAGATGGGGGACTGGAGGTATTCACAGGCCCACAATGGTATACTGGGCCCCTTCGGGGAGCTGCTGACCGAGGACGACCTACTTTACTTGGAGAAGCAGATTGAGAATCTGCAGCTGAGGAAGAGATGTCAGGAGTGTGAGAGAGAGCTGGGGCGCCTGGTGGAGGAGCTACAGACCATCCTTCCTGCCCCCATTGTCCATATCACTGTCAACAGCCAGCTCCTGCACCAGGATGGCCAGGCACTCCCTATCTGGTGCAGCCGCATCTCTGGCATGGTGAAGAGCATGTCTGTGCTGCTCACTAATGTAAACGGCCTGAGGAAGGAGGCGGAGATGCCATCCCCTAAAGAACCATCCGGGTCTGGTGAGTGGAAGTGCCCTGCTGGAGGCAGTGCAGAGAGGGAGATCCTGGAGTGTGGCGTCTCTGTCAGGAAGCTGAGAGGTAATTTTGAGAAACATGTTCTCCCAGGACAAAGAATGGCCTTGGAGCTCCGAGGGGTGGAGGCCATGCCTTGGGAACACTCAGGAAGGTGCTGGTCAGGCGAGGATCTTGTTTCTCAAAAGCAGTGGAGCACCAGTAAGAGCCAGAGAAAACTAGTCTGTGAAGAACATGCGTTTGGAGATATGGAGAATGCCAGTGACTCTGGGATCAGCTGCAAAGAGGCTTCCTCGGATATGAGCAGGTCTCTTGTTCCAGTGGCAGAGCCCACTAGCCTCAGGAAAGAACGAATAGTGATGCTCTTTCTCAGCCACTGGAAGAAATCTGCTTACATGCCTTCCTTGAAAATCACGGCCAGAAAAACGCTTGAGTCCCAGAGAGTCAGGAAAATAAGAGAGGTGGAGGCTGCTGCCGAGGTCAGAAAGGAACAGATTCCTGAGGAGAAGCCGGTGGTGGAAATGAGCAAACTGGGCTATTTAATTCAGCAAAGGAGCACCATCAAGAACCTGATTGGCAACTGGAAGGACATCATCTCTCAGGTGCCCTCACGACAGATCCGGCGCCTGAACCGCCAGCAGGCTATCTATTCCCCAGAGCAGTTCCTGCCCCACGTCAATGGGGTGCCCACCAATTACAACAGCCTCACCCTTGACCTCTTTATGCTTGGCTACTTCCACATCCTGGAGCTGGACCTTCCTCAGGAGGAACGCAAGATGAGGCACCTCCTCTGCTTCGAGGTGTTCGACCACTTGGGCAGATACCCCTGGGAGACCGTGCGAGCCTTCCACAAGGCAGTGACTGATGAAATCAGTGCTGGCAAGCGAGGCTGGAAAGACGGTTTTGAGGACATTAAGTTCAGGTTTTTTGGTAACACCAAGGACCCAGTCAGGGAGCTGGAACCAAGCAGAGCATCAGCAGAAAGCACTCTAAAGCCAGTGTCCAGAGTTAGGGTTCGGAGCGCTGCTCTTGAGCAGGCTGGACATGATCCAGGAAACTGTTCTGAGCTAGGCAGCTTCAACAATGATGAGATCTGCAGGTACATTGACCGCAGCTTTGCCTTCTGGAAGGAGAAAGAAGCCGAGATATTCAACTTTGAGGAGTGAGCTCTTTTGGCCATGTTGGAACTGCCTTCCCTTGGCCTTGTGTGAATGGGAGTTTGGGGGCTGGATTGCTCCGGGATGCTGGTTGTTCCTCCTCCCCATCTCTCAGATACTGCAAGGAATATGCCTAGAAGGGCTCAGAAATTTTTCATGAAGCAGGTTGCCTGGCCTGAGGGAGAGATTTCGGAACCAGTAGGAAGATTTTCCAAGGCACAAATGGGAATTAGGCACCCAGCTCCCATTGTGCCTTTGACAATCTACTCCGAGATTCTTCCTCTCTGCCTTTTCAGCTGTTAAGATGTGGGATGCCTCTTCTTTTCAAGCCAGCTGCCATCTCTTAAACAAGAAGCTCTCCACCTATCCCCTCCACCCCAGCCCATCCTCCTTTGCTGTGCGAACAGGTGAGGATTAGCTATTCCATCTCTGGCAGGAAAATCTCCCATGATTTGTTGTTTGCATAGCGTGACTTTAAACACTGTGGAAAGATCCAGATGGAGCTGAACCTGCCAATGGGCTGCCCTCTGCACAAACACTCACAGACCCTGGTACCGTGGGATGGCTTTGAGGGTACAGGGAATATCGAAGGACAAATTCAAGTGCAACCAGCAATGCCAGCTAAGGAAATGATTGGCAGCAGTAAAAGGCCAGCAGCCTCATGCTAGGCTGCTGGAGACTGATGGCCCTGCATATGTCACCCTTGCCCTCTCCTGACCAGTGTAGAGACTGACATGGACTGCACAGGGAGGTACATGTGGAGTGTCTGGGCCGAGGGAAAGTGTTGTGAGGAGCTCAGGAGAGGAGCTGTGGGATATTAAAACTGAGCAATGCTCTGGCTTGGGGTGGATCTGTGGTGGTCAGCAGGCAGGGGCGGGGAATTCCAGGGAGGAAGGGGAGGGAGGGGCTCAGGTCATCTCTGGCTCGTGCTTGGAACATCATTGTTGGGCTCAAGAAGGAGCTCCCCCCACCTTTTAGTGACTGGATTGTGCATCATCTCAACAAGGGCCCCAAAGGGGGAAAGTAAATGGCAGGCGTGCCACAAGTCAAAGATTACAAATAAGGCAATGGACGGGTGATTGTGAACCAATGCTGGGACTGGGCCTGATTGTCCTTTCACTTACATGTACCTACAGTGACTTCGGTGAGGTGACTCCTGATTTACACCACAGTGAGAGAGGAGAAACCTGGCACTTCGTGACCATTTCACCTCCATAGCCTGCATGAGTTGGGGTTCTGTAAAGATCAAAAATCCCCAGTGAATACCTAAGTGATTCATTAACATTCAAAAGTAGTTAAATAGCAAACAGAAAACACTACTGATTTACTAAAATTCTCCAAAAGAAAGAATCTCTCTTCCTTGGTACATCATCTCCTGTTATGATTACAGACTGAATCATATTTTCATTTTATAATTGTTTCTTTAAAAAAAGCTCACACTTTTTCTTTGTCTAAACTTTTAAATAGTATTGATTTTCCCATGGGCTGAGGCTTAATAAACAGTTTTCTGTCTCATTGAAATCATCTCTGTTTTTCTTGACAATTCATTGAATTGGGTTCATTACCTTGGGAATAACTCAAAGGGTTGGGCACATTCTGCACCACCTGGCATCTTTAGAGACTGGAAGTCTTTCTAAAGGATATGATCGAGCCCAAACCCAAGTTCTGGGTGAAGTTCTCTGGCCTGTGTTGTGCAGGAGGTCAGACTAGATGCTTACAATGGCCTTAAAATCTCTGGATCGATGAAATTCTGAGGCTTCACTGTTACAGCCCAGGGATGAAGGAGGAAAAAGTTGCCCATGTATACTGGGAAATGAGTAGATATCAATGAGCACCCAGAAGAGTCCCAAAGGTAAGGCTGTAGGCAGGATCTCTACTCCCCAGACAGCTCTGGGCACTCTGAGGAAGCAGCACCTGATTGTGCTTGCACTCTCATCAGTCCTACACTGTTGTACTGTCACTCCACTTTACCCTGCTACGGGTGACCCTAGAATCAGGCTCCCTGCTGAGGGTGGGAAAGCTACAGATCTTGGTTCCAGTGTCCCTGCTGTCTTGATTTATTTGTGGGCATTCCTGCGGGAGGGGTATGGAGCCACTTAAAGGCCTCCAATCTAAGGAGCGAGATAAGTAGCATATCATACTATATTTAGCCAAGAGTAATGCGAACTGTAGATAGGAGAGGAGAAAATATATTCACTGGCGCAGAGTTATTGACTGTTTAGAACCAGGGGAATAGATTGTGTTGAAAGGGATCATTCCCTTGCTCCTCTGCACGCAGACTCAAACCACTGATCTATTGAGCTATTTTGAATTGAATGATGGGTTTTCTTCTAATGTCCTCTGCATTTTTCCACTCGTGGGATGTGCCCATCGGTGCAGATACCTTGGTCCCGCAAGTGGGACTATGCAGAGTCCATCTTGAAGAACTCCAGTTAGAGGTAAGTAACCTCCATTTAACAGAGCTGACCCAGAGAGCTAGGCCACCCCTTATCTGTATTTCAGTGCAGCGAAACAAATATGATTTGGGGGCTGGAGGAACTGATTTACAAGTTGAGATTAAAATAGCTCAGGGGGGACTTTCAAAGTCCCTCAGCATTGACTGCCATTGAAGTCAATAGTAAAACTGCTGGTGACTTTAACAGGAGCAAAGTTAGGCCAACGCTAAGCGTTTTAGAACTCCCACCCTAAATGTATAGCTTGGCTAAATCATAGCTAAAGGGGACTGTGATGGTGAACTTCAAATGCCTGAAGAGAGTGAGCAACAGGGCAGGGGGGAATTACTTAACGTGAAAAGGGTATAACCCGGAATGATGGTATGAACCATAGCAAGGGAAAATTTAGGTTGAATATAATGAAAATTTTTTTCCCATGGTGAGATGTACCTGACTGCGGAAGTGCTGGAAACCCAATTGCTAGGGGATCTTAGCAACAGGCTGAACAAAGCAGTAGAAAACGTCCTGTCGTGGCCAGTCTGGCATAGGCAAGGAGATGGAGTGGTGGATTAGATAGGTCTTCTCCAGCTTGGGATTCTAGAATTCAGTGACCCCCTTGCTGCCTGCCTTACAATCAACTTTTTAATTTAGGAAATATACAAAGGACTTGCATACACACACATGAATGCAGCATAAATGTCTAAAGGGGTAGAGTGGAATTGGTATGATAATGGATTAGTAATAGACTGGTGACTGTGAGACCTGTTTGGGTACAGCTGGAATAATGCTGGATATCGTGTTCAGGCTGTCCTCAAAAGAGAGAGAACACAAGGAAGGGTTTGAAGTGGAAATACTTTAAATTATACTACCATAAAAAGCAAAGCAATAGCAACCAATGAGCTCTGAAGTGTGAGACTCCAGGCTGTGTGACAGCATTGCTGTTGCTGTGAGTATCCTTGTTAGAAACAGGAGATAAGTGTCCTCCAGTTTCTGTGCCACTCATGACAAGCCTGGAGCTGCAGTGAGCTCATTCAGCAGTCTATTACTGGAGTCAGGAGCATAGAGTCATTTGCAACACCAATTAAATCAAGAGTGAAAGACAAATCTCTTTGCTGTGTCACAGAGCACTCCAGCTAGGGTGCCATCAAGTGTCAGAGACTCAGAACATTTAGGGCTGAATGACCAGCATAGATCAACAAGTTCAACCCACCAGCCCCAAACCTAGGGCTGTGTCCAGGGACACAGCATCCAGCTGGAATAGTGTCTTGTGCACTGGGTAGCTCCCTGGGAGCACATGAGAGGATGAACTCCCAGGCTAGAGGGGTTGCAGAGATTTCCACTGAGGCTTCCCTCAGGGTCCTGCTCCACTCCCTATTCTGTTCTGGGGTGGAAAGGCTGGAAGGAGAGCTAGGAAGAAGTGGGGAGCTGGGGTATTTTCAGAGTGCTGATGTCACAGCTCTGTCTGTTCATTTTGTCCAACCCTGCTGAAGGGATTGAGTGATTGGTCTATGGATAAAAGCATGTGGGTGAAAGCTCAATCCAGAGGAGTATGCCGTGATGTTGGCAGGTTGGAGGAGCTGCCAGAGCACATGGTAAAGATTCTGTTGGCTCTAATGTAGAGGGGTGTCTGCTGTTCGTTAGCTGAGTTTGATATGTGGTGGTCTTGTTAGACTTCCAGCTGCTGTTAGGGAATCATATTACAGAAGTGATCAGGACAGCTTTTTCCAGGTTGTAACCCTGCCTCCTCCCTGCATGTGCATCTTGCTGTTCTCACCCTTGCACTCCAGGATTACACCAGTGCAATGGGGCATGCCTTAAATCAGTTGTTCTCAACCAGGGGTCCAGGGCCTCCTGGGGGGGCCACGAGCAGGTTTCAGGGGCTCCACCAAGCAGGGCTGGCATTAGACTTGCTGGGACCCAGGGCAGAAAGCCAAAGCCCCACTGCATGGAGCTGAAGCCCAGGGACCCAAGACCCACCACCCGGGGCTGAAGCTGAAGCTGAGCAACTTAGCTTCACAGGGCCCCCTGTGGTGTGGGACCCCGGGCAATTCCCCTGCTTGCCAACCTCTTATGCTGGCCCTGGCTTTTATATTCAGAAAAACAGTTGTTGTGGCACAGGTGGGCCGTGGAGTTTTTATAGCATGTTGGGGGGAACCCCTGCCTTAAATCAACAGAATGCTAAACCAGGGGCAGCCTGGTGAGCAGCTCACCATCAGCACTTAATATCAGGGCTCCAGAATCTGCCTGCCTACCTGGGGATTTCCAGGTGGAGTTTAAGGTGCTGGCTCAGGACCTGCCTATCTGAGAGGCCTCTCTCCTGTCCTGTGACACTGCTGCAGGTTTGCTGGTACGCCCTTGGTACAGAAGAGGTGGGGCTGGTAGGAGATTTTGGAAAGGGCTGAGATCTGTGGGGGGCTTGGCTGGAGGTTTGGATTTGTGGCAAGACCAGGATTTGGTGGGAAATTTCATTTTTATGAACTGGCTTCTCTTCTGCAGAGAGCTGTTGATTTGCTGCTGGGTGGCAGTGCCTTGGTTGCATTGCATTGGTAACCATTGGGCTCCTGGGGTCTGGCCTAG